GCTGCAGGACAGACCTGGGAGCAGCACTATGACCCGGAAGGGACATTGTACAGCATATTTAAAAGGTAAGACCATCGAGCAATGGGGGATGGCCTATAGCGTTGCCCAGTCATATATTGACATGAGGGGCTGAGCAAGGGAGTTTCCATCAATCAGGATAGAAGTTGGTCCCTGGGACTGGGAACATGGACTTGTTTGACCCTGCAGCAAGATGGAGACATTGTTCTTGAGATGTCTGGACTCAGACAACTGTTTCCTTACAATAGAAACTGTTCAGCTATTGGGAAGTCCCCAACTCCCTTAGGGCCTGAGATCTTGAGTTCAGTTTGTCCCTATGGTTCAATGGAGTCTGAAAACAAAATGGTAGTACTTAGAGTAAGTTTTTCTTGCTTGTTCTCAACACATTTGATATCAGTTATGGCTCAGACTCCTCAGCTAGACTCTGCAGAAAGGCCCTACCCAGCTACTCTTGACATTTCTGGAGCCCTAAGTAGAAGTTTCTGGTCATGTCATGTGATGCGCACTCACATAGTATTTTGCTGAGGCAAGACCTGCGGGAGGACATGTGATATTTGGAGAGAGTATCAACAGGATTTACCAGACAGTGACAGCGTGCTTGCAGAGTTAGCCTTGTAACACTTTGTTGGTCTCATGTCTTTGCTGATCTTCACTTTGTTGAGAGGCACGGCAGAGAACTTCGACTGGCGTCCCAGCTGGTCCTGGTCGCTCTCGCTGACTTGTGCTGATTTGGCGGAGGCCTGACTGTTTCTGCTGGGCGGTGCCACTGCTGCTGATTCGTGTTTGGCATGCTGACACTACTGAACTGGACTGCTGGTGTCCTGATCACAGAGATTGGAAATGCCCCAAAGAACAACTTCTAAACAGGTCCACATCTCATTGCTCTACTTACCATGTTTTCTCCTCTACTTTTGGATGGTAGGGTTGTAAGGGATTTGGGGGGGGGGTGAGGAAATATTTGAGAACCCTTATTAAAAGTAGGTTTTTGAAGAATCCAAGCCTGCAGAACCCAATACCACAAAGGGCACAGGCAATATCACTACCTAATCAAAGATTTTAAAAAAAGCCTTCATATAAATATACCTTAATCTGCGGTCCTGCTGTCACATTCACCTAGGCACTTCCTCAGATGTGATGAATTCATTCCATGGCTCCTGCCAACAAAACTGTGACATCTAGCTCTCTGATTCAAGATGTTACTGTTACTATCTTTACAATATATTTTTACTATGGTTCATTTAAATGTGATGGAAATGTGTGTCCTCCCAACACAGGTCTCAGCTCTCCTTGGTCCATATTCATTTCCCAGGTATACCAATTGCCAACAATGGTGCTCACCCCCACATGGTGGGCTGTATCAAGATGTTAGCAGATAGAAGATATGGCAGAGCTGTGACGTCTACAAAACAGTCACTCATTCTTCTCACAGAAACTCCAAATTGCCCAAAAATATCTGGAAAGTTTAGACATCTTAAGACCATGCTCTGTGAGAAGCAGAGTGAGTATGAACTTTTCAGGTGTAACACAGTCTCCCGCAGCTACAGTATACACACACACCACTACCACCACCACCACCACCACCACCACCACCACCACCACCTCCACCACCACCAAAACCAGTATTAGTAGATAAAACTTAAAACAAAATCTAAGGTAAACTCAGGCACATGGCTGTAGTCCTAGCATTTGGGAGGATTTGGAGTTTAACATATCCTCAGTCACATCAGAAGTTGGAGATCAAGCCTGGAGAGTTTCCCTCTAGTAGGAAGCCAACGTTGATGCTTGCCTATAGTGTGAGGTTTCTAGCGCCACCTAGTGGCTCACTTGTGCTTCCTACAATGGAGCTGTTCTCAGGGAACTATGTTCATGTAATAAACTTTCTAACGTTCTCAGACATTCTGATTTATGGCAAGACTTTGGGTTCTTTAATCTCATGAAGGCATGCTTGCTGTAGGTACGACAGATATATACAAAGACAACTTAAACTGTCTGGCTTCAGGTATTTGTCTCAACTCAGACAAGTCCCCTGAACCGAGAGTGGTCACTACCAGTGAAATAAGATTTCATTACATTTTTGCAAATTTTCTGTCATTCATTAACGTTTTATGTACATCTGATGAAAACTGTATCCAATTAAAGACAAGACTACTAAAATATAAAATATATTGTGTGAAAGTATATATTACTTTATGCAGATTTGTATTTTAGTATGTCATCTTACCTATTACAGGAGCAGAAAGCATTTTCTTCCACTTGTTCAAGTCTTAATATTTGTGTTCAATATCTTATTATTTTTCACTGTGGAAGCTATGTAATCAATGTTAAATTTATTCTTAGGTATTTTGAATTATTATTTAAAAAGTTTTGATAACATTCCAACTGTAGGTATTTTTGCCTCAAATTTTGTGTGTTTGTGTTGTGTCTTAAGTCAGCTACAAAGAACTCTTGACACACTCTAAGATTTTCTTTTTACTAAGATCTCTTGAGTACAAGTAAAATGTAAAAATATAAACAGTAAAATCTCTTGGGCAAAATGACTGAATGTCATTCATATAGTCTACAAATATTGGAAAAATTCAGCAGATAGTAAGAGATACAAAGGAGCTTATTTTGAAAAGCACCAAGTTCCAGATGTCCCTTAAGTGGAAGCCAGGCTGTGGAGTATTATCTGGCTTCCTGGCTAGAGTGTTTAGGGGAGAGCTGTGCTGTGGATACTGATTTAGGGTTTCTCAATCCATAGATTGTGTTTAAACCCAAGAATACATCTGTGGTCACCAGGAGAGCAAGTAAATTTAAAAACTAACCCAAGATTCGAGGGCAGGTGAAACTAATGCCTCCTCTAACTTAAGAAAGGGATTCTTCGCTGGGCGGTGGTGGCGCACGCCTTTAATCCCAGCACTTGGGAGGCAGAGGCAGGCGGATTTCTGAGTTCGAGGCCAGCCTGGTCTACAGAGTGAGTTCCAGGACAGCCAGGGCTATATAGAGAAACCCTGTCTCGAAAAACCAAAAAAAAAAAAAAAAAAAAAAGAAAGGGATTCTTCAGGTACATGAATGTGATATGGGATGAGGTTGGGTAGTTATGTGTTTCTCGAGGGTGGTGGCTTCAGAAAGACTCTGGTACAGTGTTTTTCCACCTTCCTTGCACTGCGACTCTTTTTTTTTTTTTTAAACTACGCTTTACTTTTTGCTTTCTTTTTTTTTTTAATATTTATTTATTTTATTGATGAGTACACTG